GAAGACAGAGATAGGGGACGTTAGCTTCGCGATGGAACACTTATTTGCATTCTCGTTTGTATGCTCGCGCGTCGCGTCGCGTCGATTCGCCGGGGAGCTATGATTTATGGAAAGTTTGCGGGTGGAAGGACGGCCGAAGGGAAAGAAGGGTAATAAGCTCTTAACGGATGCCATCTCCTCCGGCGGCGTTATTAGTTGGTAAACTATGCGTTATTCCGGCAGGCTGCGCTCGGCTTCCCGTCTCGTCTGCTCCCGTCCCATCTTCGCCGGTCCTTTCCGACGCGGGAACGAGGGGGAAGCGGATCGGAGAGGCTCGCGGAGCGGTGATATCGCGCGTGTACAGACGCGTAGGCGAGCACGGTTCCGTTTCGTCGTCGGACTCGCCGGGGATTCGAGTTTGGAAAAAAGTAGGGGCGAACGAGGCGGATTTGTTCGGTCGCGTAAGCCGGCAGATATCGCGAGAACCCCGGTCCCGATAGGTTGATACGGCTGGCCGAGCTCGTCGCACCCCCGGCACAGTCACCCTCCATCTCGCCGAGGGTGGGATTTAGCCGCGTTGCCCGTGTACTCGTTAGGGGTTCCGCGTTCGCCGCAACAACGCAACGCTCGGCTAACAAGGAGAGGGCAAGGTCTGCGGGTCACCGGTCTCGCTGGATACCGATCGGCATCGCCATCTTGCTCGTCGGAATATTCATAGCAGCGGATGCTGAGTAGTTTTTTTTGGACGGTTATTAAAGTTTCATTAGACAGACCTGGAAGCAGTTGTGAGATGGTTTGACGTCTTCGAAGAGTTAACTTGGTATTTCCTGTGAGAGTATATAAAATGCGTTCGTCAAAGGGTTAAGAGGATTATCCTATAAAGGTCTGGAGAATATTCCGACTGCTCTCACTTTCAAATGAAGTTCACCGAATGAATTGTAGATTATAAAGAGGTCAGTAGAAAAAATGGGAAAATATCACAGAACTTGAGACAGCAGTTAAATATTCTATCATGATCTCAGTGTCTATTAACATATTCAAATAGCAAACTCCTAATCAGACTCCAATAACAATTATCCAGAAACCTATATAGTATTCTGTATAGTGGAATATTCTCACGAGCAACACGATACTTCTCAGTACGGAAACTTTCATCAAAACCAGTGACCCGCAGACTTTATCCTCTCCCGGTAAGCCCGCCGCGAAACGCGCACGGCGGAAGCGCCGCGGAATGCTCAAGGATGCGGGCCAGCGGATTGCTCGGGAATGAAATTTTCTCCGGCGTGTTCGAGCTCCTATCGATTTCACGTTGGCCCAGCCAATTTTGCGGTCGGCTGACGCCTCGGTCGCACGACGACGCCGCCGCTTTTCGTCGAATTTCGTTGGGATTTATCGGCGACCGGCGTTCATTCCGCGACGCTATCGCGAATAACAACGAGCGGACGAATCGGAGGCGCGGCCGCGATCTCGCCGGTCCTCGAACTCGGTCGTGCACGAGTATGGTAAAATCCGCGTTGTTTTGGCAGCGAGACGCGGAGACGCGGCGAAGGTCGGGAGAAGAATTTAATTTACGTCGCGACGGGGTCGGCGTCGCCGGTGCGCTCCGCTCCGCTCCTCTTTCCCCCGACGCGTAAACACGCGTGTCTGTCTCGTCCGACCAGAAAAACCTCGTGCGCGATCTCGCGCCGTTGATTTTAGCCTGGCTAAGATACACTGTCGCTGACAATTCGGATCTTCCGGTGCGCTCGTCGTCTAGATATTTTCGTAGAAGCTCGGCGAGACGCGATGGCACGCGACGCGCGGCGAATCGTCGGACGCTGGCCACTCGATGGGAAAGTCATCTTCGATTTCTGTACGCTCGTACTGGTCTTCCACCGCCGCTGCTGTCGTAGTAGACATTTTGTTATACATCGAACGCTTGAATAATAGAGGATAAGGCAGCTATCGATTCCTTGCTAGTAGTACCAGATCGTTTGCAACTTAGTATTCCAGTGTCGACGTCCGTCTGTAAAGGGTTAACACGTTCGTATGAAAATCTCGAGTGTTTTGCATAATACTATTTCCCTGCTAGCAAAGAGAAATAGTAACGATTATTAATTGCTCGGCATAATTCTTAGTTCACTAATGTCTTATTAATCCATCATTCCTCTCTATAGAGGAACTTCCAAGAACCTTCGTTTAGGAAAAGATCTTTCCACTTCTTTTGACAGTTTGCTTCATTCGAATCGAAAGAATTGGCGGAGCCAAAGGGTTGAACACTTTCATCCATCAGTTGCGTTGAATACTATAACCCTAGCAATTCGGAAGTGTCGCACAGTATACGCGTCGGTTCGTCTCGATTTCCCAGTCGATCGTCGGAACCCGCCGGCGAGGCGATCCGAAACGAGCGCGCACCTCGGCGCGAGCGAAGAGAAACGATTTTCGCGCGGGCGAGTCGGCCTGCTCGGGCCGAGGTAGCAGCGCGACGACCGGGTTACCGTTTTCTCGCTTCGCTATAAATAAGTGGGATCGATAGTCGCGAGCAAAGGACTCGACGGATGCCGGGGGCACGGTTGCCGGCAATAATTTTATGCGAGCGGCGGCGGCGAAGCTCGCGCGCCGATGCGAAAACTCGGCTTTTCCCGCGAAACCGATGTCCCCCGATCGATCGCGGACCCCGGCCCGGACTCGTCGGAATTCGCAATTAACCGTGCGTTCCTCTGTTTCAGGTGTCGCGAACACGACAGGAGCACGGGCAATTTTGGTGAGTCGTCCTCCGATCAGTCGGCGTTCCGGAATCGCGCGGATATCGGGAACCGGCGCGTGTCCCGTTGCTTCGGCGACATTGATTTTCCCGTCGCTTTGCAACCCTTATCGGCGCCTCGCTCTCCCGAAGACGGAACCCGGCGTTCCCGCGCGCGAGAAGTCGCACGCGCGGCGGCAAAGGGGGACAGACCGGCGGAGGGAAACGGAGGAAAAAAGGAGCGAGGCGGGCCGCGAACGGGATACGTCGTATATCAGCGCGGAGAGCGTTATTCGTTCCGTGCCACGTTAATACCCCGATAATTCATTCTAAATCCAGCAAATGAAGCGACCGGACATCTCCCGACGGTCCGTAAAGCATTCCGAGAAACGAGCTCTCCGTTGCTACCCGGCCGTCGCGTCGCGACGCGCCGCGTCGACCAGCGTCTCTTTGAAGCCCCACCACCGCCGCGGAATCGGTCGCCAAAGAAGACGCGAATCCGCTCGACTCCTTTTCCTTCCGGGTTCCTCGCGTTTCCTGGTTCTAGAGGTCGAGTCGCGACGATCGACGGAGTGATCCGCGGTCACCGGTTAGCAACGGTTCGTTGGAACGAGGAAGATCCGTCGACGGTACCGGGTGAAAATCGGTTGTCGAATCACGCCTTCTCGGAACTCGTTCGTTCGAGGCAGACGCGTGTTCCGCGGCACGAAGGACAACGGGGTCACATTTTTCGCACGCGCCGACGTCTAAATTGCGGCGCGGTTCGATTTTCGCGGCACGAACGCGCGGCGGAGTCGCATGCTTGTCACGAGGCTGCTTTCGGAGGGATATTGTAGGCACGGCCCGGAATACCCCGAATTCCCGGCCGCGATCCGTGTTATTAAGGTCCATTAACTCGACTCGGTGGGCGCGGGATCGGTGTATCGGTGGCTCCGGTTCGTTAAGGTGAGTCGATCGCCGGCTCCATCGATATTCCACGCATGCCTGTCGAGCGGCCTCGGGCTCCGGAGGATAATAAACGCTCGCGCGGCCGCCGTATCGCCGCCGAAACCGGCAGGCCGATTCGCTCGGGCTCGTAACGTAACACGGGTAGCGAATCCGTCGCCTCGTTCCTTTTTCGACGCGGCTAGGATCGCGATCCTCCTCGCAGACCCGCTCGTGCGCCGATGCGTGCAGCCGGCTATCGTGCGTCCCCTCGAAGGAATTCCGGTGAAACGATTTCCGCGCCGCTCGGAACTCGCGGGGGACGCTGAATATCGATTTTCGATTACGAGCGAGCCAAGGAGGGAAAGAGACAAAGATGGGAGGGAGGAGGCGGGGGAGCGCGAGGGGCGAGGATAGGATCGTTAGAGGTATGTAGGGTAAGGTTGCTCGAGTCGAACCCCATAAGAAAGAGAGTACAAATTGCGAGGTTATTTTGGGATTGTACAGACAAAACGCGTTCGCTTTATTCGGGACTTTAATGAACATTGCTGTTACTTGCGCTAATAGAGTGCGACATTTCGGGTGTTCCGTGTGTAATGAACGTTGCTTAATGTGCTAAGATCGGGGTGACTAAGGAGATTAGGGCCTTAGTCTGTTAAGCTGTCGGTAATTGATTCTGACTGTGCGAAAGAATGGTGTCGGAATAATGTACGCGTTCGTTTTGCCAGAAACGCTGCTGCTGTTGTAGAGGTTTCGAACGATCGAGAGATTCAACGTTGTCTGTTTATTAATGAAACTGAAATATTTTACAATTTCTCAAAACTCGCAACTCGATTCTTTCTCTCTACCGTCTTTTCCCACGTTTCCCTTGTTCTGCAGTTTCGTTCTTGTCTCTCGATTCCCGGTCGCCGTCTTCAAACCTCGTCCCTCGATACCGTCGCTGTCAATCGACTAACCGGTTAGATCGACACCATACACGATGGTATACAATTGAAACTTCAAGAAGCACGTTTTCAATCGCGTCACGACTCGGGCAACCTCGCCCAACTCGGATTGTCGCAGTCGGATCCGAGAACCGCCGGGAAGAAGAATAAAAAAGCGTGCTCGTCGCGAGTCTGCGGCGGCTCTGGCCGTACGTCCGGGAATCTCCTTTCGTTCCGTTTCCTCCGTTTCATCGGGGAAAATTTGCATTTTAAATTAAAGGGGATGCACTCGAGACTCTTTTAACGATGCAGCCCCTCGTCCGAGTCTCCGGGTATTTTGTGCTTCGCAGAGTCTTGTCTCTCCTCTTCTTTCCTCTTCCTTCCTCGTCTCCGGTTTCCCGTCGTCCGCTGCGGAATCCCTCCGCGAGGTTCCCGTCGAGCACGTAAACGCGTTTCGCGAAAGAACCGGAAGAAACGAGGGGGGAGGCGGTCGAGTCGATGCGGCGAGCAGATTGCGCGATGCATTTGCATGACGCGTTCCGAACGGTAAATCGCAGTTAAGCCCTCGCAGCGTCGCGGCGCGTCGCTCGCCGAATCTTTTATCGGTTTCTCGCCCTTTCCCGTGCGAGCATAATTTACCGTTTTATCTGTTTGCTTTCCTCCGCCTCGCCGGCCTGCTCCGCCTCTCCCCGCCTCTCTGCAGCTCTCTCCACGCCTCTTTATCCCTTTCACGTTCCCACCGGCACCGCCGCTCCGCCGCTCCGCGAGCGAGGGTTTCTGGAAAATCGCTCCCGAACCGGAGACTCGCGGCCGAGGGAAACTCGCCCGGAAGAACGGACCGTCGAAACTTGCCACCGGCGAGAAATATAGATTTAATCCGGAGGGTTGTCGGAGCGGCCGCGCGCGAGCCGGCGGAGCCCGCGGTTCCGTCGAGGGTTTGCCGACACCGGAGAGCTTTTACTTAATTAACCGGAGCCGGGTCGCTTCCGTTCGTCTTTTTCCCCTCGTTTCTCCATTTTTCCGCCGTTACATCGCCGCCAAAAGTTGCCTCGGATTCCCCGGC